CATGACTGCTAGTATAAGATTTTTGATAGTAGAATTTCACACAAGTATAATTACATCTCAGTGTATACATATGTCGCCATAGAATTTTTAAGGAAGATAAATGCATTTCGTGGTCTTTTGCCAGCCCCTTTAGCAAACATACTAATATACTCCACTTCCATAAGTTGAATTCAAAATATCAACCGACTTTAAATACTATTGTTTGGTACATCTCATATGTAACAGTTAAGAAAAGCTTCATAACATTATATAATGAGGTATTAATTGTCAACTACCTAATAAAAAAATATAAAAATTATATACACTATAGTATTGAGTTAAAGAAAAAAATACTAAGATACTTGAATCTACCATTTAATAGAAATTCCAAAAGAAAACAGGGATAAGAATTTCAAGTTTCTTTTTGCTGCTCTAAATGGATCAGCCAGGTATTGCATGAACTCAAAATTTAATATATTCAGTTTTACACAAGTTCAGATCGATTTCAATAAAACAAGAGCATATGCAGAGTATGATCCTTCTTCTCAAATTATCTAGAATATTATCCGAGTACCTTGAAAGCAACTGAGAAATCCATGACCAATCCTCATCACCATCAGCATCAACGTTATTAGATGATTCTGAATGCTTTGACCGAGCAGATTCACCTTAAGAACAGGAAACATATTAGGACAAGCAATAAATGTACACGGCAGTATGAAGTTGATGAAAGTGAAAATAGCACAAACTAGGACAGTCAATTAGACTAAGGTAGCCCAAAAGTCAGATTTGTTTGGCTTAATCGGACTAAGCTTTATATGATAAAGCTGGAAGGATTTTGGGCTGACTTTTTAGGCCAGATTTGAAATTCAGGCTGATCTTGGTCTACCCTCAGATCAACCAAAACATGGCCCAATCTGATTTGGTTTCTATGCATATGGGATATGTGCCTAGAAATTGTATATAAATTTTAATTTTAATTTGTTTTTTTAATCAAAATATTATAATTTTGGTTTCACAAACATTAGTTTTATCAGAGCGAAGGTTGGATCTGGATAGTGGGTGTTGAAGCTGTGTGAGCTGAGCTTGGAAATTTCAACGAAAATTTTCAAACTCCGATCATCGATTCTGGTCTCAAATGGCTGGGTCAGGTGGTAGTGATCTTCGGGCTCCAATATTCAATGGTGATAACTATGAATTTTGGAAGATCCGAATGAGAACTATTTTCAAGTCGCATGGAATCTGGGATCTAGTTGAAAAGGGTCTTGAGATTTCAGACTCGAAAGGGAAGAAGGTTGATGAAGAAGGGTCATCTGAGTCAGAGAAGGTGTCTCTGTTAATGAAGGATGCTAAGGCGCTTGGGATTATCCAAGGGGCTGTCTCAGATGACATTTTCCCTAGGATTTCGAATGAAGAAACCTCAAAGGGAGCTTGGGATATCTTACACCAAGAGTTTCATGGTGACAAACAGGTCAGATCTATCAAACTTCAAGGTCTGAGACGTGATTTTGAGTACACAAGGATGAGGGATGATGAGACCTTGTCAATGTACCTTACTCGTTTACTTGAGTTGGTAAATCAGATGAAAGGGCTTGGGGAAGATCTATCCAAAGGGCGTTTGGTTCAGAAATTGCTCATAAGCTTGACCAAGGAGTTTGATCCAGTCTGCTACGTGATTGAGCAAACTAAGGATATTGAGGCCATTGAGGTACAGGAGGTGATTGCTGCCTTGAGAGGATTTGCTCAGCGCCTAGATAGGCATGCTGAGAACACTACTGAGAAAGCCTTCAGTAGCATGAGTGTAACTCAGAAGGGAGCACAATTCAACTCTGCCTCTGGTGACTCTAAGCCAAAGAAGAACTGGAAATCGAAGGGTAAAAAATGGGATCCTAAATCTCAAAACTCTGTCAGTCAAGGTGACAAACCTGAGCAAGTCAAAGAAAAGTGTAAACACTGTGATAAACTACACCATGGTGAGTGTTGGTTTAAAGGAAAGCAAAAGTGTCATGGCTGCAACCGGTTTGGACATTTCATCAAGGACTGCAATCAAGCAAAGGCAGGGAAGCTTGCTAACTTTGCAAATCTGGTAACAGAACCTGCTACTATGTTTTATGCCTGCCATTCTGCCACTATTAGTAGAAATAAGAATGTTTGGTATGTTGACAGTGCATGTAGTAATCATATGACATCACACGAGTCTCTACTTGTTGATATTGATAGAAATGTGAGGTGTAGAGTCAAAATGGGCACTGGTGATCTGGTTCAATCAACAGGAAAAGGCACATTGGCAATTGAGGTGCAAGGTGTCACTAAATATATCAAAGAGGTAATGATTGTACCTGGATTGGATGAAAACCTGTTGAGTGTGGGGCAGATGGTAGAACATGGGCATTGGTTAGTGTTTGGTGACAATGTAGTTGATATTTATGAAGGAAAACAGATGAAAGAATTGATTGCAAGAGTGCAAATGAAAGGGAACCGATGCTTTCCCTTAGACTTTCAATATATCAATCCTGTCATGGCTAATAAGGTAACTCTGGAAGAATCATCTTGGTTGTGGCACAGGAGATATGGACATCTAAACTACCTCAGTTTGATGCTCCTGCAAGAGAAGGATATGGTGCAGGGTTTGCCTAAACTGCAAGAGGCTGAGAAAGTTTGTTCTGGCTGTGCTATAGGCAAGAGTCACAGAAGTTCTTTTAACAAAGAAAAGGTTTGGAGAGCTTCACAGCCTCTAGAACTGATTCATTCTGACATCTGTGGTCCAATGCAGACCGTGACTCTTGGTGGGAACAAATACTTTCTCACTTTTATTGATGACCACACTAGAATGTGTTGGATATTTTTCTTGCAGTATAAGTCTCAAGCACTGAACATTTTCAGAAAGTTCAAAGTCATGGTTGAACTGCAGTGTGGTTACCAAATTAAAAAACTGAGAAGTGACAGAGGAGGAGAGTACACATCACAGGATTTTTCAAAGTTTTGTGAAGAGATGGGTATAGAGAGACAGTTGACGGTTGCTTACTCTCCACAACAGAATGGGGTTGCAGAGAGGAAGAATCGCACTGTGATGGAGATGGCGAGAACAATGATGTATGAAAAGAAGATTCCACTGAAGTTTTGGGGAGAAGCTGTAAATACAGCAGTGTATCTGCAGAATAGAAGTCCAACAAGTGCTTTGGACAATACAACACCATTTGAACAGTTTAGTGGGAGAAAACCAGGTGTCAAACACTTGAGAATTTTTGGCTCACTATGCTACATTCATGTTCCCTCTCAGAAAAGACACAAGCTGGAGGAAACTGGAATGAAAGGGATATTTGTGGGATCCTGCACATATTTTTATGTTATTATCTTAGTTTCTATTAATTTGAGGCCCCGTAAACTGTTACATTGTGTGAGATCTGCCTACGTGGAGTCGACATAATTAATTAACAAATTCCTATATATGATTTACTCCTCTTTTCCGTCTTGCTTTCGGGTACTGGCCATGGAGCCAAGGGAACACAATATCCCATGCACATAATTTTATAATTCAAAAGACAATTCCACCGAAAGCACTTTTGAAGCCAACAAAGTCAAGGTAGGCGCCACAACAAAACACATCACATGCCATCAAATTTGAGCCAATTCCAACAGTAGGAATAGGAACCTCAAAACTTGATAGAAGATTTAATTTCCACGCAGACAGTTTATTTGTTCACAACACCTCATCCATGGCACTTGTGCGAGCAGCTCGGAAAACCTCCTCTTCTTATACTTGTCGATATTTTCATTATGACGTGTTCCTGAGTTTCAGACAAGAAAACCAAAGGCCCAAACAAGGGAACCCATAACAAATCGAGGAATAATACATACAACATGAGAACTAATTTTAATTTCAAAATCGCAACTAGCCCATAGTTTATTGGAGCATAAAATTTGGATCGAAGTGATAATAGGCAGAGGTGTGTACCTAGAATTTATCATTTTAAAAGACACAATTAAAGCTCCCACTAGTTGGATTGCTTTTGTTACTTTCTCCCTTCTTTATCTTAAAGAAAGAAAAAAAAAACACATAATGATTTCATTTGCTTGACTCAAAATAATTGCTTTTTAAGTCAATGGATGGATGATCCTTTCATTTGGTCATTCACAAGCTGCTCGTTTATACAATCCATCCAGGCAGTTTACTTGTTCACAACACCTCATCCATGGCACTTGTGAGTGCAGCCGATCCACAAACCTCCTCTGTTTCCAGTACTTCTCGATATTGTCGTTATCACGTGTTCCTGAGTTTCAGAGGCCAAGACACTCGCAAGACTTTCACTGACCACCTCTACACGGCCCTTGTCAAAGCCGGATTTCGCACTTTCCGAGACGACGATGAAGTCGAGAGAGGAGAAGGTATCAAGCCCGAACTGCAGAAAGCAATCAAACACTCAAGAACTTATGTTATTGTGTTCTCGAAAAACTACGCGTCGTCCAAATGGTGCCTTGACGAGCTCGTCATGATCCTTGAACGCAAGAGGCTCTCAGCTGACCATGTCGTTTTACCTGTCTTCTACGACGTGGATCCATCCGACTTGCGGAAGCAGAAAGGAAGTCTTGCGGAGGCATTCGCTAGACACCAAAAAACCCAACCGTCGAACAAAGTGAAGGAATGGAGGGAGGCACTTGCAGAGGTTGCAGATCTGGCAGGGATGGTCTTACAAAATCAAGCTGATGGGTAATTTCTTTCCTACCATTTCTTTTATTTACAATTCCCTTTCTAAAGTTAAAATACTGAAAATGGACTTACTTTTTCAGGGTGTGTTAATGGAGATTTCATATAATATTTCTGAATTTCAGTAAGAATATTCTACTATGTTTTTTTTTTGTTTGGGCAAGGGTAGTATAATTATTATCTCCTTGCCAGTTGGTTTTGGTTTTGCAAGGATAGTATAATTATTTCTACTTTAATACAGGCGTATTTTAAAAACTTCTCACAATAGAGTTGAAGTCCAATAATTAATTAGACGGATTGTACTATTGCAAGGATGTTTGAATTCTTTTTTCATTTGGATTGCAACTTTTCAGACACGAGTCAAAGTTTATCAACAAGATTGTTCAAGTGATAGGACAAAAACTAAGGCGTAGACCCCTAAGTGTTCCCCACATCATGATCGGAATGCATTCTCGAGTCAACAAACTGAATTTATGGTTACAAGATGAATCAGATGATGTTGGCATACTTGTAATTTATGGCATGAGTGGAATAGGGAAGACAACCATTGCAAAGTCTGTTTATAATTCAAACTTTGGAAGGTTTGAAGGAAGCAGCTTCCTTGAAAACATAAAAGAAGTTTCACAACCTCCCAATGGCTTAGTTCAATTACAAACACAGCTTCTTCATGATATTTTGAATGGGAGAAAAATGAAAATAAGCAGTGTTAGTGAAGGATTAACTGAGATTGAAGATGCAATAAGCTCTAAGAGGGTTCTCCTTGTTCTCGATGATGTGGATCATATGGATCAATTAGATGCAGTATTTCAGATGAAAGATCAGTTTTATCCAGGAAGTAAAATCATAATAACAACTAGGCATGCAAGATTGTTAAGAGCTCATCAAGTTACTAAGGTGCATAAAGTTGAAACTTTGCATTACAAGGATTCATTGGAGCTTTTTAGTTGGCACGCTTTTGGTCAAGACCATCCTGTTGAAGGTTACATAGAATATTCCCAAAAAATAGTGGATCATTGCGGAGGACTTCCATTAGCTCTTAAAGTTTTAGGTTCTTCTATGTACTTGGGGGATAGTATAGATGTATGGAAAAGTGCACTGGAGAAGTTAGAAGCCAATCCAAATGGTGAAATATTAAATAAACTAAGAGTAAGCTATGACTCTTTGCAAGATGACCATGACCGAAATTTATTCCTCCACATTGCTTGTTTCTTTATCGGAAAGGACAAAGACTACATTGTTAACATACTAAATGAATGTGATTTCTATACAATTTTTGGCATTGAAAATCTCATCGATAGATGTTTGGTGATTATTGATGGATTGGACAAGGTGTGGATGCATGACCAAATTCGTGGAATGGGAAGAGAAATTGTTCGCCTGGAATCAAAGAAGCCTTGGAAGCGTAGTAGAGTTTTGCGTCATAAGGATTCCTTCAAAATCCTGGCAGAAAAGAATGTAAGAAACATGTCTTATATGAACACATATAGATGCTTTTTCTTGTAAATATTTTCCAAATGTTTTTCCCTTTTCTTTTTTGCAGGGTACGGAAGCAATTGAAGGTCTTGTCCTCGACATGCATATGCTCTCTACAAACTGTCTCATAAACTCAAACGAGATAGTCTTGGAAACCAATGCATTTGCAAGGATGCATGAACTAAAACTACTCCATCTTAGTCATGTACAACTCGATGGATCTTATGCAGAATTTTGTACAAGATTAAGATGGTTGTGTTGGAATAAGTTTCCTTTGGATTCTATACCTACAGATTTTCCTTTGGGGAGCCTGGTTGTTCTTGAAATGCAATATAGCGGCTTGAGGCAAGTCTTCAAAGGAACAAAAGTATGTTACTCTATGATTTTCAATTTTCACTTTCATTTGGCTTTTAGTTTCGTAAATATATCTATCTATCTATAACAATTAACTTCCCCACAATTTTTTTCTTCTGTTCATTTTTTCCCCCACAGCGTCTTTCATCATTGAAGATCCTTGATCTCAGCCATTCTCATTCACTTACAGAAATCACCGACTTCTCATTTTGCCCAAATCTAGAGAAATTGATTCTTGTAGATTGTGAAAGACTGGTTGATGTCAATGAATCCATTGGGAACCTTGAGAGACTTGTTTACTTGAGTATGAAGGATTGCAAAAATATTAGGATGCTTCCAGAGAACATGATTATGCTAAAATCACTTGAAACACTTATTATATCTGGTTGCACAAATCTTAATGAGTTATCAGTTGAGATGTTAAGGAACATGGAATTTCTGAAAGTGCTTGAGATGGATGAAATTCCGATAACTCAATTATGGCGAGGAAGAAGTTCATGTATCTTGAGTTCTTTACCATGCTCTTTAGTAGATTTAAGTGTTCGGGGTTGCAATCTTTCGGATGATGACTTTCCTAGGGATTTTAGTAATTTATCCTCATTGCGAAGACTAAACGTAGGGAATAATCCAATTTGTGTCCTACCAAATTGCATCCAAGGTTTAACAAGGCTCGATGACCTCTCTTTTAGGGAGTGTACAAGGCTCAAATCGCTTGTGGGTTTACCAAACCTACCTCACTTGACTATCTCAGGTTGCATATCATTGGAAAAAATAACATATCAGTATTTTCAAGGCGGACTGCATGCTACCTGTGTGGGTGACAACCGCAACCTAGTTGAGTGGGAGGATACGTTTAAGGTAGAACCCATTGGAAGAGTTGATGTAGATATGATCAACCTCTTGGGCTTGTGCAACTTGGAATCCATGGCAACCATTCGGATGCACAAACCATTCTCTAGTGCAATAGATCGAAGTCCTGTCCAGGTGCGCCTCTCTCTCTCTCTCTCTCTCTCTCTCTCTCTCACACATATAATCACAGGAAAGAGTTGACTAATATTGTCAGCTCTATTGCATATA